TTTAGTCCTAGGAGAGGGTCCTGAACTGCCTCAAAGGGATCAGAGTCAGTTACCATGGTGATGGTGAAACAGGAAAAACTGTTTCATATTTTCTCTTCCCTTTTCACTGAGAAACTAATTCATGGAAAGTAGCATTTCGCTTTAACTTAAAAAGGAACTTTTCCTTTTCTCTTCCTGCCTCCGAACATTAACTTGTAAAGGAGGAGACTACTTACATCTCAGCTTCCCTGAAGAGTTTATACTTGGCATACTAAGGATATTTCCAACACCATTCCTTAAATTCCTTTAGAGACCTCTCCCATTTACAGCAGCACTTGCCCAGGACTTCAATAAAGCCTTTTTTTTTTCTAAGTTACTTGAAAACTGTGGTTTAAAAAGAAGGCACAAAAAGTCTTTAAGAAAAAACTCACATATTCTATTCACTTACATATCTGAAATCCATATTTAATTACAAAAAATATGCTGGCACCATCTAATACTATTTCCTTAAAAAAATTCAGAAATACACCAGATATGGCAGTGTATGCCTTTAATCCTAACACTCGAAAGGCAGAGCAGGCAGATCTCTGTGCGTTCGAGGCCAGTGTGGTCTGCAAAGGAGTTCCAGGACAGCCAGAGCTGTTATACAGAGAAACCCTGTCTCAAAAACCAAAACAGAAAAAATTTTAAAAAAAGAAAAATCAAAACTGACCAACAAAAATTCAAGTCTCCCTACAATTAACAAGCATAATCTACTCACAGAGATATAAGAGAGGCTAGGGATTTAGCTCAGTTTGACTAACTGGACAAGGCCTTCAACACAACAAGGAAGGAGGGGGATGGGGGAAGGGAGAAGGCAATAGTGGGTTATCTCTTTGCACCAAATACACCTAGTTGCCTGCCAACTAATCTGAAAGGTGCATGATTCGATGGCAGCTCTGAAATTTGTTAGCTGAGTAATAACAGTGAACAACCGTTTATTCTAAGCCCCAATGTTGTGATCTATAGCTTAGAAACCATGACAATTACCCCCATAGGGTTCCTGTGGAGTTTAAACTAGCTTAAGGCCACAGTTTTAAAAGCTTGGGAACCACAGTCAGCACTCAGAGTTGGCTGCTTCTGTGCCACAGCCAATAAAACAAAGCTAAGAACCAGAATTGCTCCAGGAGACAGCTGGCTACAGTTTCTGGCAAAGAGCTAAAGAAACAAATTAGTATTCTCTCAAGAATCTTTAGCCTTGGGGCTGCACTCACATTGGGAGAAGGTGTGAACTATGTTGTGGGGGTAGCACTGAGTTTGCTGGTCCCAACAAACTGTAGGTGGACCCGACTCATCTCAGGAATGCAATGTTTGACTCAGTCTGGCACTTACCAACAGTGCAATAGGGCTTGCTTTGAAAAATATGTACCGTTACATAAATGGCCATTACTGCAAACATATATACAACTAACACACAGTGATGATTTCTTTGTTGCATTATGGACTAGAAGAAAGAACAGAAGAGTGGGCAGATAGACCAGAGGAAGCAACAGGGGGGTAACAGAAGGCTTCAAAGACAGAAAATCTGGGTTTAAAAGTTGGTTCCACCACTTTCTTTTTGGTATGAACTTGGGCAAGCTAAATAACTTTTTTGTGCCTAATTATCCCCTTGTGTCAACAGGGATAATATTAGTATCTACCTCACAAAATTATTGGGAAGATCAAAGTATGTATTACTTAGAATACATACTAGCCATATTAAGCATTAGTTTTTTCATTCATAAAATGGAGACAAAATGCATAACTTCACAAGTTGTTAGATGAATTTAGTATATTATACCTATAAAATATTTAACACATGATAAGTCAATAAATATTTGGCATTTTCATTAAAACATAGGTGGATAGCAAAATATTTTTTAAACCTGAGAAAAATACTTAATAATGGAATATAACAAAAACACTGTGAAGGTCTTTAATTTCAATGTCGAGAGTGTTTACTAGGAATTGGCACACATAGTCACTTTCCAATGTGTAAAATACACATGAATGACTGCATCTCTTAGATCTTCCAAAGGCCTAAATCCAGAGTTATAAAAGAGAGGAGGAGCAGGAGGAGGAGAAGGGGAGGAAGACAGGGAGAAGAAGAAGAAGAAGAAGAAGAAGAAGAAGAAGAAGAAGAAGAAGAAGAAGAAGAAGAAGAAGAAGAAGAAGAAGAAGAAGAAGAAGAAGAAGAAGAAGAAGAAGAAGAAGAAGAGGAGGAGGAGGAGGAGGAGGGGGAGGGGGAGGAAAAAGCCACAGCAATTTTGAACTGATGCTCCTTTTAATGCTCATTCACTGAAAAAAAGAGTAAATGTAATAGCATACAGATCAATAATCAAAAAAGCAAAGGCAATACCTGGGAGGTGTACCACGCACATTAGCCACAGGGAAATAACTGATACAGCTACATAAAAATCAGTGTCTCGGTGGTTGGGGTCATAGAATCACTTTTCAACATGAGAAATGACTTTTATATTGAAGGGAGGGGAAAAAATAACACCTCCCAGATGACAATTAGCTTTGAGTTAAGCTTCCCTTAACTATAAACTAGAGTCAAGATTTAATTTTTATCCTAAAATTAACAAATAGACGACTTTAACTTTGGCAGTCCATTCCACAGAGCCTGGCACTGAGTCACTGTGAAGCAGGCAGGGCAGAGTCACCTTAGTCTCTCCACCTAAAAGAAGCTAAGAATGAAATATAGGAAGGCTCACATAAAATGATGTTTTACTGAATTTTCTAGGACACTTCCAGGGAATTCTTGGTCAACAGGAAAGAAAGATACAAGGCTTTTACAGAGAAGAGGCACATGGACCAGTTTGTATCCCAAAAGAATGTGAATTGTAGTTTAAGACAACACCTGTAAATTCTTCTGGACAGTTACCAGGGATACCACTCATCCATCTGTCTAGGTAACATCATCCAGAATTATGAGAGACACAAGTCGATTTTAAACTCTCTAAAACATATAATAAAAAAGCAAAATGAATTCTATAATATTGTTCATTTAACTCAATATCCAAAATACTGTTGACACACTGTCTTAGTTAGGGTTACTACGGTTTCGATGAAACACCATGGCCAAAAAGCAGGTTGGAGAGGAAAGGGTTTATTTGCCATACACTTCCACACTGCTGTCCGTCACTGAAGGAAGTCAGGACAGGAGCCCAGAGGCAGGAGCCCAGAGGCAGGAGCTGATGCAGAGGCCATGGAGGGGTTCCGCTCTGGCTTCTTTCCCCTGGCTTGATCAACCTGCTTTCTCATAGAACCCAGGACCACTACCCCCAGGAAAGCACCACCCACCATAGGCTGGGCTCTCTCCCATTGATCACTAACTGAGACAATGCCTTACAGCTGGATCTCATGGAGGCGTTTCCTCAGCTGAGGATCCTTCCTCTCTGATGACTCTAACTTGTCAAGCTGACACATAAAGCCAGCCAGTACACACAGTATAATAATTATTGCTGAACTGTTTTATCGTTTCATTAAAAAAATTTTGAACCCCACAGTGTATTTTACATTTGCAACATTCTTCAGTTTGAACTCGAGAGTGGAAATATTCCATAGTCACACATGGCACATAGGTATCCGTCTTTGTCAACATGGCATAGACCTACACGTGTCTGGGACGAGGGAAGCTCAAGCCTCAGATTGGCCTGTGGGGGCATTTTCATGCTTTCTGATTAATGTGGGGGCCAAAGGTAACTGTGGGCAGTGCCACACTGGCAAGGTGATTCTGGTAAATGTAAGAAATGTAGCTGAACATGAAGCTGAAAGCAAACCAGTGTGGGATTCTTCTACAGTTCCTGCCTCAGCTTCTGCTGGAATTCCTGCCCTGACTTCCCTTGGTGATGGAGTGTGATCCAGACACAATCGCCAAATAAACCCTTTCCTCTCCAAGTTGCTTTTGTTCATGGTATTCATCATAGTATTAGAAAGGAAACTAACAGGATATCATATCAGAAGGCAAAGTCTAGAATCCATGTTCCCAGCAATTAGAGACACGGGCTGTTTTGCTTACAGAGACAACTGTGACATAGAGATAGATAGATAGATAGATACATAGATAGATAGATAGATAGATAAAGGATATAGATGGATATAGAGATAGATATAGAGATATAGGTAGGTATAGATATACATAAAAACAATCCCTGTGATAAAAATTCTAATTACATTATTAGAACTATTACTAGAAGACTATGACTGTACTGAATTCAATTCTAGCCCAAATGATAATTTTGTAACATATAGTTAGTAGAAATTTTTAAGCAGGCACCTACTTTTAAAGATATTATAAATACATTTTATATACATAAACACTATCAAAAAGTTTTCTCCTATAATTACTTTCAAATTATTTTTGTTTGTTTTGTTTTATTGAGACAGGGTCTTGCTGTTTAGCTCAGGCTAGCCTTAAACTTGCCTAATGCTGGGATAACAAGCTGTTGGTACCATAGTTGGCTTAAAATTATATCCTTCAACAGAAAGTGAATCAAAATGCTATTAAATTCCTTTAATGAGGTGAATAAATTATAGCCTTCTCTTTGTAATGAATGAACTCTGTCTTCATTAAACATGTAGTATTTCCAGATTCCACTAGTGCTCACAAATAAATGTTTTGTTTGTCCCATATTTGGTGAAAGAATATGTCAAATGTGGCCTCAAATACTTCATAAAAGTTAAACTATAGTCATTATTTTTAGAATGTTTGACTCCAGGAGTAATGGGATTACCTAATACATATAAAACAGGGACCCATGGGGCTAGCGAGATGGCTCAGTGGTTAAGAGCACTGGCTGCTGTTCCAGCAGAGTTCAAGTCCCAGCAACCACATGGTGCTCAAAGTCATCTGATGCACTCTTCTGACATGTAAGCTTTATATGCACCATATACATAAAATAAATAAAATTTTTAAAAATATTAAAACAAAACAAACAAACAAACAGAAACAGAGACCCAGCAACTGACAGCAACACAAGTTCTGGAAAGGAGCTTACTTTCTCTGCTAAGAGCTCTCGGATCTTGCTTGCTTGAACTCGGAATTTCATGAGCTGAGCCTCCAGAGCTACACATCGTTCTTTCCAATCTACCGGTCCTTCTGGCTCAGAGAGCTCTGCCATGTTTCTTCTAGAAAGAAAGAAAGCAAACAGTTAAACAACACACACATTAGCATTGACAATACCTCCACGCACCATTGAATGCTATCCACAGACAAGTTCTAGAGTCTACGCCAAGACCAGCACTTGCTACGGTTTGCAAAAACTAATGACAGACAAGAAGTCAGGGCTTGGAGCCACATCCAGATGCTTAATTCTGTATCAATTTACCCATGGCAAAAAAAAAAACCACAAAAAACAAAACAAACAAAGCAGATGCTAACAATCTCAGCCTTCATGGACATGCTATGAGGGATAAATGAAATAATGCTGCTTCAATAGAATGATAGCACAGCCCAGACAGACTGCTGAATTTTTTATTCTTCCCAACAGGTAGGACTTTGTTATTTTTTACTTATTTTATGTATGTAAGTGATCTGTCTTCAAGCACACCAGCAGAGGGAGTCAGATCCCATTACAGATGGCTGTGAGCCACCCTGTGGTTGTTAGGAATTGAGCACAGGACTTCTGGAAATGGAGCCAGTGCTCTTAACTGCTGAGCCATCTCTCCAGCCCCAAGTAGGACTTTAAAAGCCTATCCACTCATAATTCATGCTCCCAGATTTGTAGACATACCACAATGCCTTGGTAATATGATAAAATAATCTATGGAAATACCATTCCTGGGTTAAAGATTTGCACTAACATGATAACTTGGTACCACTTTGGATGTGTGTGGGTCCAGGTTGCCTCTGAACCCCGAAAGCCTCTGGCTTATTTAAACAGGGAAGTTATTAGAAGCCTGATAAGTACATTTCCATTTGGGGTAAGAAGACAAACAAATAAAGATGGAATCTGATGTCATCAACAGTCTAGTAAATCTGGTCTTGGTGTTTTCTGTGATATTAACTGTCCTTTTGAATGTTAATGGGGGAAGCTTCCCTGGAGAGGAGGCAGGGCCAGGCCAGGGAGGCTGTCTTGCAAGCCTGATTTCAGAAGCATGGCCACTTCTGGCTCTGAGAATCAAGAAAGTAGTTTTAAATGTTCATTAATGTTCTGTTGGCCTAACTGTATTTCTGAAGGACCTTCGCCATGAATTGATGAAATCAGCGTTAGGAACAAATTTCCTGAAGGAGCCAGGCCCAAGTGTAGGAGAACACAAGATGATTAAATCTCAGGGTTCCGAAGAGTCGGCTGTTGACCTGCATGATAGTATTCTTTTGTTTTCTAAAAAACATAGAACCACATCTCCTCCCCCCCTCATATTTACTGTAGTATGTCCTATTCCCTAAACATAATGCCAATGTTTAAATACTGCATGCTACAAGCTTCCTCTATAATCTTAGCACTTGGCAGGCTGAGGCAGGAAGATTATGGTACATTCAAGGCTCCCCTGGGCTGCACAGAAGTTCCACAGTCCAGGTCAGTCAAGACTACATCATTAGACTGCCTCAAAGAAAAACAAGCAACCAAACAAAACCACACAAGCTACTAAAGACTCACTTTTCCTTAAACACAAAAATAAGTGATTTGTGCTTAGCATAGTTTTCACTTTAGTACTGGAATTATCACTCCATAATTTAGAAATAAATGAATAATTGCTCTACAGAGGCAACAATTTTTGTTACAGTCACCCCTACCAACTTCAAACCTTTCAGATACCCCTACATCCTGGCCACAGATGGCAGAAACATCACTGTAGAGCTGGCAAGAATTCTCCTGGTTTTATGGAATCCTGACTCTATTTATTTCTGGGTTTTGTTGTTGTTGTTGTTAACATCAGCTTTATGAACATTTTCATTCACTAGATTAACATTTATTATTAATGTTTCATCTTGGTATCACAAACTTCTCCATTCTACTATGGCTTCACCTTCCTATTAGCTTTAGTGGGGATATAGGGAAAGAAAAACAGATAATTTTTTTCTTTGATTTTAAAAACTAATAAAATAGAAATTCTTAATTCCTTTTGTTGTTGTTGTTAGTTTTGTTGTTGCTGTTGTTTTCCGAGACAGGGTTTCTCTGTGTAGCCCTGGCTGTCCTGGAACTTGCTGTACAGACCAGGCTGGCCTTGAAATCACGGAGATCCACCTGCCTCAGTTTCAGGAGTGCTGGGATCAAAGACATGAGCCGCCACCACCTGATGACATTCTTAATTCTTAAGTGATTCAAAAAACTATGCAGAAAAATATGGACATTGCTCTACCTCAAGCAATGTAATCTATTTCATGTTGGGTAAGTTTTCCTCTACAGTTAGAATAACTTTTATGTCCCAGTGTAAAAAGTATTTGCCTTTCTTACCTTGATTTTTTGGGATCTGAACTCTGTACATGGAAGACAAGTGCTTTGCCAATAACTTACATTGTTAGCCTATAGTTTTAAAAATAGCATAAATAGTGCATAAATGCTTTCCAACAAATGAAAATAAATCAAGGCCACGTGTCACAAGAATAAAGGACAAAAAAATGATCATTTCAACAACACACACAAAAAAGTTTGGCAAAACCCAACATCTCTTCATAAGAAAAGCATTTGACATATCGGGAATAGAAAGAAAGTTCTTCATCCTGATAAGGGACAACTCCAAAAGCCATCAGTGTCTGAGTAATTCCCCATGAGACCAACCAAAGCAAAAATGTCTGCTCTCACTACTTCTGCTCTACCATATTACATGTAGTCAAAGCAAGAATAAAATAAAACGTTTTTAGGTTTAAAAAGGAAGTAAAACTATTTGCAGAGGATATGATCATGGACATAGAAAATTCTAAGAAACAGACACACACACACACACACACACACCCTATTAGAACTAGTAAGTAAGTTTTCAGGAATCATCAATATGCATAAACCAAGTTCTATACACTAGCAAAGAAAAACCCCAAAATTAATACAATGCTCCATTTATGTTAACATGACAATAAGTAAAACACTTAGGAAGCTTAACAAAACTAGGATCTGTACTTTGAAAACTACACTTCATCAGGGAAAGACATCAAGCCTGAATAAATGAAGAAATGGCATGTTCATGGACTGCAATCTGTGTAGGTGACAAGACTTGCAAACGGATAAGTGGTGCAATAACTGTGAATATTCCAACTCATTTTTTTTTCTGGAAACTGGCAAGTCTATCCTAAAATTCACCTAGAAAATTTAAGGGGCCAAAGGTAACCCAACAATCTTGAAAAGCTTAAGGAGTCACATATTCAAACTTCCACGCTTGATACAAAGCTATGCTACCCAAGACAGACGAGTGGAGAGAGACGTCATCAGAAGAAAGGTTAGTCCAGAAAGACAACCTCGTGTTTACAATCAGTTCGTTTTTGACAAGAGTACCTAGACCATTCAACAGGGAAGGTAATGGCATTTTCAACAAAAGATGTGGTACAACTGGATCTCCATAGGCAGAAGGATGAGTTTAGTTCCCTCCCTCATCCCAGATACACAGATTAGCATGAGGTAAATCAAAGGCCTAAATGTAACCCAAAGCTCTAAAAATCAGAAAACTGATAAATGAAACCTCATCAAAATTTAAGAATTATGAGCAGTGGTTCCCAACCTTCCTAACACTGTGACCCTTTAATACAGCTCCTCATGTTGTGGTGACCCCCCCAACCATAAAATTACTTCATTGCTTCTTCAGAACTGTAATTTTCCTACTGTTATGAATCCTAATGTAAATATCTGACATACAGGATATAGTGTGACACCCGCAGGGGTCTCAACCCACAGGCTGAGAACCACCGCTCTTAGGAAACTATGAAGAACTTGCAAAAATGTCCCACAAAAAGGTAGAAAAAGATTTGGAAGTATCTGATAAGAGACTTGTTTCCGGAATAGGTCAATTATTCAAACAACTCAATAAATAAAAAAGACAACCTGTCAGGCTTGATGACCCAGTACTCGGGAGGCAGAGGCAGGAGGACCTCTGTGAGTTTGAGGCCATCCTGGTCTACAAAGTGAGTTCCAGGACAGCCCGTGTTACATACTGAGACCCTATCTTGAAAAAAAAATTAAAACCGACAATCTAAATTTAGAATGTAGGCAAAGTTAGGGGCTGAGAAGATGGTTTACCTGGCCAAGTGGTGGCCGTGCAACCATGAGATTCAACCCTCGAAAGAGAAAGTGCCTTCCCTCAGATGGTAGGGTATTTTCTAGACTGCCCTTGGGTAAGCGGTCCAGAGCTACATAAGAAGTCAGGCTGAGCAAGTCATGAGAATCAAGTTGGCAATTGGAATTGCTCAATGGCCTTTGCCTCAGTCCTGCCTCTGGGCTTCTGTCTTGGGTTCCTGCCCTGACCTCCCTCAGTGATGGAGTGTGTGATCAGAGAGCTGTAAACTGAGGCAATCCTTTCCTCCCCAAGCTGCTTCTGGTCATGGTGTTCTATCACAGCAATAGAAACAAACCGGAACTAAGACAGAGGCTATATCAGAGCATGGATTATTGTTAAGATTGACCTGGCCATGTTGGTTTTTAAGTATCATGGAAGGAGTTTGGAACTTTAGGCTGGAAAAGTTCTTCAGCACTCAGAGCTCAGTGAAGCATGGAAGATAAGAATGCTAAGAGTAGAAAAGACAACGGAGCCGGGCGGTGGTGGCACACGACTTTAATCCCAGCACTCGGGAGGCAGAGGCAGGTGGATCTCTGTGAGTTCGAGGACGGGCTGGACCGACAGCCTCCAAAACAATACAGAGAAACCCTGTCTTGTAAAAAAAAAAAAAAAAAAAAAAGAAAGAAAGAAAGAAAGAAAGAAAAGACAACGGAGGCCTGGCTTGTGAAGTTCCAGAAGGAAGCTTGAGAGAACCTTAAAGACTCTGTTAAGGTCGTTCAATACTTTGAGTTAAGAATCTGGGGCAGCTGAGCATGAAGGATCAGTTGTGGTTAGGAAGAGACCAGAACCACTAAAGTGAAACCTTTGCTTTACTTGGACGATCAATCATGACTAGCTGGAACTGAGAAATTATCAGTGATTAATTAAGAGACCAGTACCACTGTGGTAAAGTTTTCTAGTAAGATTTCCTCAGGGAAGCACACAGAAGCTGTGGTCCAGAGAAGACCAAGACTACAACCCATGCTGGCATCTAAACCTGATAACGTCACCCAGTGCCCAGGTGGTACTGGTTTTGAAGGCTTGGTAGGGTCATGGAGAGCAGCTGACCCTCGGCACTGTGAGAGGCCAGAAGAGGTCGATGTTGAAGGTGCTGACTCAGTTGTAGTAGACGCCCCAAGACTGAAGTGTTCATGGAGACAAGTTGTGGCTTGTCACCACGTAGCAGGGTCCAAGTCCCTGAAGTGAGCCTAGACTATTGGTGAAGTTGCTGTTCAAGTTGCAGCGGAGTGTTTGAGATACCAGTACTCAGGGACAACCACCCAGAAACAGGAGAAGCTAAGGTGAAGCCGGCCTCAACCTAGGACACATGCTTCATATTCTCTGAAAGGCAGAATCAGAGGTGGGGCTTCTGGAAGAACATGAGTGACACCAAGTTTTACATGGTTGGACTCTGGTTTTATTTGGGTTGAGAGTGACTGTGTTCTAGTTCTTCCCTAGTGGACTAAGAAAATAAGTTTGTTTTTTTTTTTTTTACTTAATATATACACAGTGTTCTGTCTGCATGTATGTCTGCACACCAGAAGAGGGCGCCAGATCTCATTACAGGTGGTTTGTGAGCCACCATGCCGTTGCTGGGAATTGAACTCAGGACCTCCGGAAGAGCAGACAATGCTCTTAACTGCTGACCCATCTTTCCAACCCATTATTTTTTTTTTTATTTTACAGGTACTCACAGTTAAAAGACTTGGATTTTTTTGGAGAGTCTTTGAATATTTTAAAAATACTTTGGAATTTTAAATGTTGATATTTTTAAAGGCTATGGGACTTTTAAGAGTTGGAATATTTTATATTGTCATATTAATATTAACACGGCATCTTGGGAAAAGGTTATGGTTTAATAGTGGTGTTTTATGTCAAGTTGACAAGGCATCAACTGTTTTAGTTGGTTTTTCTTTTGTTTGTTTGTTGTTTTGTTTTTTATCAAGTTGACAGCAGCTAGAGTTATCAGGAACCTCAATCAAGAAAAATATCTCCATCCAGACTGCCTGTAGGCAAGTCTGTAAGACATTTCCTTTATTAAAGGTTGATGACTGACTTAAGCAAGAGAGGAAAGGTTATACTTTAGTAGCGATGTGGTTTGTGTCAGCTTGACAAAAACCTGTGTGGTCACCCCATAGGGAGCTGTGCCACCCCTGGGCAGTTACTGAATTGTATAAGAAAACAGGCTGAGCACAGCATGAGGAGAAAACCCATAAGCAGCACTCCTCTGCAGGAACCCGTCTTTGAGGGGCTTCAGTTGGATCCAGTCAGCTTGCCTGGTTCTTCCTGAGAGGGGGAGTGTGGATTGAGGAATCAGCAGGTAAAGATACTAAGGAAAAGATACAGATACAGAACAGTCGAGATGGCAACCCAGTGAACCTGACTGAAGCCCCCCAAAGATGGCGCCCAATGTGGGGCAACTACAGAGGACAGCTACACTCCTCCATGGTCTCGGCTTCAGTTCTTGCACGCCACCCCCCAGGTTCCTGCTTTACCCTCATGATGGATTACTAACCCCTTTCCTTCCCAAGCTGCTTTTGGTCATGGTAATTATCACAAAAATAGAAAGGTAACTAGCACAAATACACACATGTACTTGCGCATGCAAGCATGCCCCAAAATACGCACACACACACACACACACACACACAAACTATAAGAACAGACACTTCTCCAAAGGAAATGTATAAATGGTTAATAAGCACATAAAAAGTTCTCAGCATCATTAACTACAAGAAAAAAATCAAAAACTGAAAAATCAAACTGGTGATGACACTCCACTTCACCCCAAATTAGTGCAATATAATGAAATGAAAACGAATGTGGACTAAGAGGGATTGATGAGAATGTGCAGTCACTGGAACTTCTGCATGTCACTGGTACCGCAAACAAGTCAAGACGGCTTTGTAAATAATCCAACAGTTCCTCAGCTGGCCCAACAGTTAGTTCCTCAGCTGTTTAAAGTTATCCTATGGTCCACAGCTCCAGGTCACACATTGGAAGAAATGTTCAGAACAGACCCAGAAGGACAGAAAACAGGTCAATGGTTGCCAAGGACTATGGGAACGACTATGGACTGACTACTAAGAAGTCTATGTTTTGGAGGGTGGGGGTGAAGAAACTATTCTAGAATTAGATAGTGGTGATAAGTGCACAACCTTGCAAATATACCCACATCCCTTGGATTATATATACACTTCCAAAGGGTCAATTTTATGGTTTGTGAATTGTATCTCAATTAAAAAGTTCATATGCAAACAAATAAAGGAAAGAATGGGTATATACTAAGACCACATTTGCAGGTTTAACCGTTCATTATGAGTGCTTATCCATGCCAGGAATCTCACCAACAACTCAAATAATAGAGAAGTAACTGTTAACCTCAACTATGAAAAATATAGTACATAGCTCTTACCTAGAACTTTGCTATGAAAATGATATCAGAAATTAGAAGTTGAATTCATCTATTTTTCTTTAGTTGTGGTAATTATACAGTTTTATGATGGAGTGGAAAAGCTTTAAGATTATCAAACTTGGATTTGACACCTTCAGTCCCCAATAACTGTCATAATTAATAAAAGAAACTAAAAACTGCAGATTGGTTTTGTGACCGCCCAAGGTCTAGACATGTGATTTCTTTGTGTCACTCTGTAATCCTGCGACTAGGCAGAAGATAGCTGGAACACGAAGTCACCACCTTGAGTAGCTAAGAACGCTACGCTATGTCTGAAGAGTTTCACCGTCCGTGGTGACACAACTGGACAGCTTCGGGAAGTTTAATCCACTTCTAAAACTGCCCTATCTAAGTTTTGAATGCTAAGGGGCTCTACCTTCTCTGTAGTGGGGCAGGAAAACGCCCAGGTTTTCCAAAGCCCTCCGGGCGACTTTGGAAGTATTTACTGACACAAAATAAACTGTTTACAGTTGTGGAGTGAATGCTCTTTTCTCTGAATTGCTGACTTCCTGTTTCTTTCCCAAATCCTAAAAAGGAGGGGAGAAGAAAGAGGGAGAGACATGAGGAGGGAAGACGGACACTGCTACCTAGGCTCACGTTGATGAAGTCTGGATAAACTCGCAAACCCTTCATAGGCTCTAGGATCAGTTTTGGCTGTGAGCTGTGTCATTCCCCCTTCCCTCTTCTCCCGCCTCCCCCCAGTGCAGAAGAGCTGTCTTTCTTAACTAAGCTGAAGCAGTCCTGATTTAAAGACCCTCACCACCACCTAGACCTACTTGGGCCACGGCTGCCCATCGGCCGCACTGCCCAGAGCAGCCTGCCTGTGCTCCACACTCCTCTTGGACACACGCATAGCCGGGAGGTCCAGGCTTGCAAAGCCTGGGACTTTCACAAAGAAGCCAGTGACCTGCAGGTAGCCTGGCACGAGGAGAGTTTTTGCAAAGCAAATGTCTCAACTTCTCGGGGAGGGGGTGGGGAAGGGAGACAGGGCTTCATTTCAGGGTCTGTCACCTTAGGGCACTCCGGAGTCGGGTGGTCGAGCAAGTGGAGGTGTTAAAAATGAAAAGCAGAACTTCAGTCCCGGTGGTGTTGCTTCACGGCACCGCTCTCCCAGAAGTGCAGGCCGAACCGCAGCATCGCCGATGGGACCCACGATGCGCGGGGACGCGGGGCTGCCCCGCAGCGCGCCCGCCGGACGACCCCCGCGGTGCCACAAGCCCGGGCCCGGCTTTTCTAACAGAACGTCACAGGAGCCCGGGGTACGTAGTGCCGTCCCCCGCCGGCTCGTGCTGGCGACTCGGGACCCAGGCCGAGGCGGGGCGCACTGCGTTGCATCGCCCTCCCGCTCCGCTGGTCCCGCCGCCCCCTTCCTCGACGGCGACCCGGGACGGAGTGGTCCCCGGCGAGTGGGAGCCCAGAGGCTCGTCCCCGAGGGGAGGGTCCCCGAGGCCACCGGACCCCGCGCCCTGCCCACCTGCCTACCTCTGCGGCGGCGCCCGATGTCCCGGCCTCGCCTGCTACCCGGCTCCGCCGGCTTCCCTGGCTCTCGGCCCGCGCCGCCGGCCACACTCGGAGCCCGAGCGGCCGGGACGGCGCCGCCTCCTCCGGGATTGGCGGCCAGAGTAGCTAATCGGAGGCCGGAGCCGACCACCTGGCGTCACTGGAGGAGGTGTTTATAACTTTGGTTCCTCCCGGTACCCCTCAGAGAAAGGAGGTCTGAGCCAGGAGGTGTTCGCACTGCCTGCCCCACACCTAGACAGACTTCAAGGCCTGTTGTAGCATCTAGTCACCTCTTTCCCATTCCCTTTGCCTCGTTTGTACCCGGGTACCAACCTCTTGTGTGGTCTCTCGGCCTGGACTCTCTCTTGCCAATCCTTCATCTTTCTACCCAGGGGCTAGTGTAAGTGTGCAGTATGCCAAAGGCCTTCACTGTCTTCCCGATGCTTAAACAGTCAACAGATTCCGTGTGCAGCCTGAGAAGACCCCCTCCTACTTGTGCAAGTCTAGTTTTCACAGCTGCTCTTCACACCTCGGGTGACCGTGGTCCACATCCTGAAGACTCCAGCTGGGAAAGTTGATGTGTTGTTTCCTGCCCCTCCTTTAAAAGCTCTGTCTGTCCTCTCAGAAGGAGCCTGTCGTCCCACAGAGCAGAAACCTCCGCTCTTGTTTTTGTCCTCAGCACGTCCATTTTTTGCCGCTCTTGGCATGCGCTATTTTCCTGACCTTCCCCTGTTGCAACCATCAGCCAGCGGAGAGCTTGAAAGCGAAAAGATCTGTGCTTTTTTCCTTCAGCATATCGCGCAAAGCACATTGCATGAGCACATGAATGATACATCTGGTTGGATTTCATGTCCCAAGCTGGGGCCTAGAGAGGCCAGTCTTGGGAGAGGAGAAGAGACAGGAGGAGGAGAGGAAATGAGGGAAGGGGGGGAGAGGAGAAGGGAGGGAAGGAGAGAGGAGAGGAGAGGATGAGGAACAAATTCTGAATGTTAGACCTTCCCCAGGTCACAAAACTAGGTCAGACAAATTACTCTTTGATACGCAGTTAATACAAGCATCAGACGGTTCTTCTCGTTTCAGTCTTTTTACAAAAGAAATGGCCACCCTTATATAGAAAAGAACACTAAAAGGATAAAGACTTGCAAAGTTCCTTAAAGGGAAAGCAATAAGTGAAAACAAATAAAAGACCAGCAAGAAAGTATCAGGCGTCCATATTTCTTCCAGATGAGCACTAATTTTGGACTGGATCCCAGACAACCCCCACACATCAAATTCCTTCTGCCTTCTGTGGGAGCTGGTGATGCATATCGTATGAAAAATTGTCTCCAAACAGCCTTGGCAAACAAGCAGGCTGGACTGGGCTTATTTCACAGAGCACGCAGGAGTTAAACAAACAGAGCTAAAGTAACTTGCATAATTTTACACAGCAAGTCAGTAGAGACCCAAGCAAGAGAAAGACAGAGGATGCCAAAATAGAATCACTTCCGTTTTCCAGTCAGAAATACTAAATAGACTAAGTGAGCTGAGTGAATAAATTCACTCATAAAAGGCAGCTTTCCAAACACAGCTGCCATCCTTGTGAGACTCAGCCAAAGTTTACAGTCACCTTGTTCTAGAAACTTGTCATAGTGAATTTGTTTGGCTATGAAGGGGGTGGGGAGTACAATAGTATTTTGTTTCTGGGTGGGTATAAAACAAAACAAAACAAAAAACAGAAAAAGAAAACCCCAACCCCACTTACTATAATGGAATATTATTCAGCACCAAAGAGATGTCAGCACTTGGGAGCTGGATGTGGAAGGATCACTGTCAACTACATAGTGAATCTGAGGCCAGCCTGGGCTCCATGAGTCTGAAGAAAGAGACGGGGTGATGGGGTGAATAAACCTTTGAAAATACACTGAATGAAAAGATCCAATTGCACACTAGGAAATGTTATGCAATTCATTAATATGGGATGCTCAGACTGGGTAACTCCATGGAGATGGGAAGTGGATTAGTGGTTACCTTGGGCTGAGAAAGATGTGGGTGTTAGTCTAGGGCAATTGTTCTCAGCCTACGGGTCACAACCCACACAGGGGTCATTGGATATAAGATACACTGCATGACAGATGTTTACATTACCGTTCATAACAGTAGCAACATTGCAGTCACGATGCAGCAATGGAATAATTCTATGGTTGGGGGTCTCCACAGCATGAAGAACTGCATTAAAGGGTTGCAGCATTACAAGTGTTGAGAACCACTGGTCTAGGGGAATGATGAGTCTTGGACCGGGGAGCAATGAAAGTGTTTTGGAACGTGTGATGACTTCATCCCTGACTGCACCAAACGCTGTAAACATGTATCATTTGAATGGATGAGTTGTGTGTTCTGTGAATTTCGCCTCAAAGGTATTTTTAGGTTCTGGAGAGATGGCTTAGTGACAAAGTGCCTACCACACAAGCAGAAGTGCCTGGATTTGGATCCCCAGTGGGCATGGAAAAGCCTGGCAGGGTTCCAGGGGCACTGAGGCACATTCCTGCAGCTCATTGGCTGGCCAGCCTAGCCAAGTCAGTGAGCTCCAGGTTCAATGAAAGACTCTGTCTCGAACGATAAGGTGAAAGGCAGCCGAGAAAGACACTTGATGTCCATCGCTGGCCTCTACACATACATGTATACATCACACACATGCATAACACACACACACACACACATTGTAAAGAAAACTTGAATTTTACATTTTTACATTCTATATTAAGTAGAATAAAATAGAAAAATCCCTGATCTTAGCTGGGCAGTGGTGGCACACGCCTTTAATCCCAGCACTCAGAAGGCAGAGGTGGGCGGATCTCTGTGAGTTCCAGGCTTGACTGGTCTGCAGAGCAAGCTCCAGGACAGGCTCCAAAGCTACAGAAAAAACCTGTCTCCAAAACCTGAAAAAAAAATAGAAAAGAAAAACCCCTCTTAAATACTCATAGCAGTGTACCGTGCTCATTTGCTTGACTCAGTATTTCTATTGTTTTCTGTGGCAATGCGATTGCCCACTCCCTCTATCACAGTGACGTGAGAGCAGAAACACCGCCCTTTATCTTAGTGTGTGCCCGGCGTGTAGCACGGTGCGGCACATAGCAGGTACACCACAAATGTTTATCAGATGATAGACAAAAATGGCACAGGATGAGTTTTATTGGATGCTTGTGATATTCCTGGCCCTGTGTTAAGCTATGAGGATTAAAAAAGTAAGCTAAACACGTCACTCCAGATCCTCTATTTTCAAGGAGTTCCAGTAGAGGCAGAAAGCTGTGTGTTCGCTGAGCATATATATACACCATCAGATGCCGTGAAGGAAATGCATGGTGTTACACAGCTGGGTAATGAGCAGGAGATGTTCCGGGCTCAGAGGTCAAGAATGTCTTTCTGAGGTCAGGTCTGAGAACATCCAAGGAGATGGTAGGAAGAGCATTGTGGGTTGGGAGAACAGCGGGTACCAGGGTTGGTTGTGACGAGGAGGCTAAGGTATCAGGGGGACTGAATGGTGGCCGTGGAAACAGGAGCACAGTGAGAGAAGAGCAAGGGGAGACTGGAGGGAAAGAGAGCCAGTCCCATAGGAGGCTGTGAAGAAAGGGCGCCTCACACTGTAAATGAGTTCTGGTTAAAAATGTATGCTCAGGACCAATGGCCTGGGGTGAGGACTATTAAGCCCCGAGGATGCACATTGTATGGGAATGCCATAACTACATTCTAGCTACACCTCTGTTTCTTAAACCATGGGCTACAACCCCATATGGGGTCATGTAACTAAATGAGGAAGTTGAGGGAAAAATGGCAGCAGGGAAAGATTTCTGAAAGCGTAGTGACCAAAACTTCAATCAAGATCAAAAGCAGACAGAGTCTGAGGTGCTTCTGGAAGCGCTCGTGTGAGTGGCAATTCCCAGCTGCACTGCAGCTTTGGCTCTGAACTCACACCATGCGCTCTTTACACTGCACGTGACACCTGCCACATAGCATGAGTGAATGCTGCCTCAAACCCTTGTCTCAGAGACCAGAATAGTGTGGGTTATGAACTGTCTGGAAGAGGAGAAGGAGGAGGGTGGAGGAGGAAGAGGAGGAGGAAGGTGGAGGAGGAAGGAAGGGGAGGGGAGGAGGAAGAGGAAGAAGGAGGAGGAGGATGAAGAAGAGGAGGAGGAAGAAGAAGAAGAAGAAGAAGAAGAAGAAGAAGAAGAAAAAGAAGAAGAAGAAGAAGAAAAAGAAGAAGAAGAAGAAGAAGAAGATTAGTCAGGCATGGGGGAGCACTTCTTAAATCTCAGAACTAGGGAAGCAGAGGCAGGTGGGATCTCTGTGAGTTCCAGGCCAGCCTGGTCTACAGAGAAGTTCCAGGACTGCCAGAGCTGTCATACAGAGAGACCCTGTCTCAAAAAACAAAAACAAAAACAAAAACAAAAACAAAAACAAAAAAAAACCTCACTCTCAAGAGAACTAAGGTACACCCGACAAACCTGCCCCCTCTCTGGAAACAGTATGAATTCACTCATGATAGAAGAGTGTCTGTGACATAATTGACATAATTGCCTTTCCAGCAGGCCCATCTCCTAGAGATCCCACCATGCCAATACCACCTCACTGGGTACCAAGTTGCTAGCTCTTGAGCTCTGGGAACAAGTTGTACTTAAAGCATAGCAGTGTAGCCCCGTGCCTGGGGCATGGTGACTTTCTCAATCCTTTGCGTTTCAA